TACAAATCAAAAAGAAATTAATATAACGGGGCAAAACTTTGCACGAATTATAACTTGGAAGTATGCCAGCTTATGAACAAAAATTGCCCAAATCGATCTAAAACTGTTCAAACCCCTGGGTACTGGGAGCCTATAGTTGACTTTGTACCACAAATATCGGTCAATTTGTCAGTGGTATGTTTGTGTTTCAAAAATGTGTTGCATCGGGTCAATACTATCCTTAGCTCCTACATACAACGAACTTCTAGGGGACTTTATGCCGCATATAACGGAAAATATGTGAGTTATCTTAACGTTTGATGAGCGTTTCTCGGCATCTATGCCAATCGCATGGACCATTGTACATCAGTAGAAGGCATATGATCTCAGAACACGATGAACTCATTGCACACGACAAAGACCAAAAACTATTTTGATGACGATAGAAAGAGATTGATCGAAATATCTGACACTCTAAAGTTATCAAAGGATCGCTCTGTAAGAAGAGTAAGTACTGCACGAGTACCCAATCAACCGTTTTACTTTACAACTATCCCCAAAAGCAATGAAATCAGAATTTCTCTTCCCTTGGCATAAAGTAAGTAGACACGGTGAATGGCTAAAAGGCACAGTAGTTCAAAAACGCGCTTTATGATAAGTATAGACTTTTGGATTCCCTGGTTACTATTTATTTAATCGAAATTAATAATTATTTTAAAATAATAAAAAAAAAAAACGTATCTTACAAGCCATCCATGATAACGACCAATATTTAATGACTTATGTGTTTTCAATAATGGAACTGCTCTAAAAAATAAAATTTATTATATTCTCGAGCAATTGCGAGGACACCCAAACATAAAGCAGTATACGGAAATGTGATATAAGAATTCTTTCACAGCTTTCTCGCATAGCACTTTGTTCATTGAAGAGCATAAACAATAACTGACTACTTCACTTTTATTGTGAGGAACGATTTTGATACATGTGTATGTGTATGGGTATAGCCTCCGTGAAATTCAATATATTTAGGAAGGTTGCAAATGTTTAAAAGAAAACCTTTAGGAAAATTGGATTGTTAATTTAAATATAATATATTTATATTTTGTTAACAGCAAGAAAAACGCTAACTTCGTTTGCACCGAAGCAATAAGACCATTTATCAATACAAAACATTTCTTGAAAGAACTTGATTTTGAAGGGTTAGTCTTATGTCAAATGAAGAAGTCGTTCATACAAACCCTTGATACCGATAATTCAGTTTATGAGACAGCTACATGCAGCTGCTTTGGCAGAATGTGTGCATAATTTCAAATCTACATACATATATCCCAGAAGTTGAGGGACTAGTTCATGCATTTACAGGTGGACAGATAGACAAACATGGTTAAATCGACTCAGATCGTCATGCTGATCATTTATATACTATATAGATTTTATAGCGTATCCGATGTTTAATTCTGGATGTTATAATTCTTAACTAAAATGATAGACAAGAATTAAAAAATCGCTAAATAATTTTAAACTCCGAAACACAATTTTTTATTGAATTCTAATTAAAAACTAGGGATTATATTTTTTTTTTCAATCCGGTATTTACGATAAAAACTATCATGTTTTATTTTTATTCTGATTTTTGGGATTAAACATTTATTTAGTGCAGATGCATCGACAGCCGGAGTGTGGAACTTTAATCTGCTAAACCTTACCTTCTTCCAACTCATGTCTCTCCCATGGAGCCACCGAATTTGATATTACTTAATGCGAGAGAAAAATACTTTTAAGTAACTTCTATTGTGCGGACTGACCGACTCCTAATCTATTGTAAGTTTCTTAGCTTTGTCGTAATTAGAGCTGACGCTTCGTTGACAGCTTTCCATTTATCGGAGGGCAGATACTATGTGTTGTAAAATGTACACCGTTACACTACCGCCGAGTGTAGATTTTAACTTTTCCTTTATGTTTAAGAAATGGGGAACTGCAAAAATAAGAGTATTCTATGCACTCTCTACATGTTGGACACAACGGACTAAGGTAGTGATGAAATCGGAGCAAATAATACTTCTAGAGCATCCTTGGTCACTTAGTATTTAGGTTAGGTGGAAATTCAGGTAGACATGTCGTCTGTCTATCTACGAATGAATGTCTGGGATCAGTCTGTTCAGTCTGTGGGTCCATTGTTCTATGGAGGTTTGCCACCGCTGCTGCCACATTGTAAGGCTCTTGGTTTTCTCCTCTTTTTTCCGCCGTGTAGACGGCTTACGGTTAGACATACACATATATGTGTTCGTGTACAAGGTTGAATCACTAAAAGACCTTATACATACATTTGTACATACATACATATATTGCAATTAAAAACGTAAATTAAATACAAGCACAATAAAAGTGCCATTAATCAAATATATGGAATTTATTTATTGATTTTATGTACCTAACATGTTTGCTACTTTTTCTATTTTTGCAACGCAACTTTGATGCCACGAGTGTCTATTATGGTTTTCTTTTAATTAGTTTTTTTATTATGCCTATCTGCTTATGTGAAGATGTTCGCCGCTAAAATCAACAAAATGAAACCGCACCTAGCACGCAGAAAAACAACAACAACGAAAAGCAAATATACACATACAAACCTACATACGTGTATGTGGATATGTTTGTATAGAAAACATGCAACAATTAAAAATATTTTTAAAATATACAAAAGAAGTGAAAACAAAATTGCAAATCGAATAAGAGAAACTTTGCCTACAATTGATAAAAATATTTGCAACCTTTTATACATACATACATATGTACACATATGTATATACAACCATATATGTATGCATATAATAAAAACATAGGTAAAACAAAATGGCAAAATAGACGCAAAAAACCGTATTTGAACATGCAAAGGTAGGCAAATCCCACATATAGGCCGCCTAGTACACTTCACCTCCCCCCCAACCCTCTGTGACCAACATTTACTATTCTATGTACTCGCCGCTATATCCGTAAGCTATGGATTTTTATGGCTTCGTGCCCCTTAATTTTGCTTGAGTTGCTGGCGTTTATATACCCGCAAGTTGGGAGTGAGGGGTACAACGTCGTAGTCGCCATAAAATTCAAATACAATTGCTGGTGGCAACACTGCATTTTGCAGCATAAATCAGAGAAAGCCACATACGAAATGGTCGCCGGCATGCGAAGGCGCGAGGGGGATGTGAGTGGGGCTGTGCAAATTGCGCTAGTCGGCCATAATCGCTCTACGAGCATTTGACCAGCGCCATGCAACAGTGTAGAGCTGAGTTGCAGCAACGCCAACGGCTGCTTGCAATGCATTTTCTGCACACACAGACGCATATAAGTGTGCTCGCAGCGTTGATACTCGTTGTTTCACTCGCTGGCAGGCAGTTACTCGCTGGTGTTGTGCGCTCAGCTCAGTGGGCGTTGCCTTTCGTATTTTGGAGAGCGCTGCTGCTGTTATGCTTTTGTTGGCACGGCAGTTGAGTAGTCATATCAGCAATCGCACCACTTCACTAAGCTGTTGTTGTGCCCTGATACACTGTTAGCTGACTGTTAGTGTGAGTGAGTAAGAAAGTATCCGTGGTATAGCTGTCTCTTTTACTCTACTGTTTTTGTGCGTTTCTTAAGTGTTTTGAGTTGCCTTGTTGGCAGCTAAAGCAAAAAAACACAAACATAGCCGACCAGTTTGTAGTTGTTGTACTTGTGATGTCGTGCGGCAGTTAGGTTGGAAAAATGTCGTATGAACCGTTGGATGCGTGCGACTAGTTTGTGTTCGAACGCGATTTGGTGTGCATCGTGAGGTTGCGCTTCTTTATGCAAGAAATTCGTGATTGGAAAATTTCGAAAAAAATTAACTGGTGTTGAAAACTGGTTGTAGCGAAATATGTGCTAAAAACTTACTGACAAAAATCGTTAAAGAAAAAATTCGGATTTTAAAAATTGTATGAAAACAGTAATTTGCAACAACAAACAATACTTGTTACTGTGACAGACAGCAGTATACAAAAGAACAGATTGTGAGACAAGATTTTACTCGAAATATCAAAATAAAGCGAAACTCTGAATGTGCAGAAGGGCTGAATATGCAGTAGTAACACAAAAATGATAACTCTTTTCTTATAAAATATTTGGTTGCAAAATATGCAATAATAAATTTATAAATTTGAAATCAGTGAAAAGCAAATTTATGAAAAAAATAAATAATTAAAATAATAAATAAACAAAAATTAAAATAAATAGACACAAACAAAATAAATAAAAAATTAAAATTCACGAACTAATATCTACTTCTAAAGAAAGGTCTGCAAAATGGACTAAAATATTGCGCAATAGAAACACACAATTTATTGACTGTGAAAAACGTTGTTTATGAGGTGTGGAGAGCATAAAATAAAACAAAAATACTAAAAATTTACAAAACCGTTTTTGAAACAAGATAAAAAATTTTGAGTTTTTTGAGGACAGTAATGAGCAGAAAAAAAACAAAAATATTATAACAGATACATATGTATGTATAAGAATAATGCCAAAAATGCAACTGAAAATTTAATTTCAACGCAAATTATGGAAAATTAATTTCACAGTTATTTTGTATAATTGATGTCAGTTCAAAAAGAAAGCATGCAAATAAACAGTTACGCTAAGCGGTGCTAAATTATTGAAGTTATTACACTTCAAAAGCAACACAACAGCTTGCCAGCGGTTTAAAAATAAAGAAATTCAATGAAACTCAAAAATTAAAACAACAACAACAATAACACGAATACTCCAACGATTTCATTGACACGCACAAACATATGCCGCTAAGCATTTGCCAAGCGCGTAAAACGTTTATTACGGCATGTTTTACATTTATGCGACAGCTTAAATACAAGCAACAACTGCAATAAAAACAAAAACAACAACACTAGGGACCCGCTGTATACGCGTGAGCCACTGACGAACAAACGCCAAGTAAAAAACGAAGAAAACAAAAACAAATCAGTAAACAAATAATCATAAAACCGTCAAAAAGGATATGCAACAACAACAACGGCAAACAGCAAAGAAAAGCCAACAGCAACAACAACAATAAAGCTATAACAATAAAGGCGAGGGCAGCAGAGCAAACAAATCCCTTAAAATCAGCGCTACACCCACAGCGGCACAGCACACATACACCTACATATATACATTGCACGCAACACCCACAAAGCGTGTGAACCAAATACTCCAAAATAAGAAGAAGAAAATATTTGTAAAGCACGAAACTCGAAATAAGCGTCCACAGCGGAAAAGGAAATAAGTTGCGGAGCAAACAAACATACAAAGCTTATACGTACATATGTATGCATGTATGTATGGGCATGTAATAATAGCGAAATATGTAAATAAAAAATCGTTGCGAAAAAGTCGCCAAAGAGTGTAGCCTGAAAACATTTCCCGCTGACATTAACACAAATGCTTGACAATTTGTTTTACCAATTTCCAGCCACACCAAGCGACTATATTGACTAGCCATATAAGGCAGCAACAACAAGCACGGTGTGTGTGCGGGTGTGCACGAGTTGAAGCTAGCATCCTGTGCCGCACGAAAAAGTGCTTTTATACGCAAAAGCAGCGCAGCGGCGTCAACGTCAGCGCCAAACATCCGGTGGGCGCGTTCAGGCCACAAACGCGGCTGTGATTGTATGCTTGCACCACTAGGCAGCATCCAACGTGCGCGTATCCTTGCCGCTTGGGACACATTTAAATGTGTGTGCGATAGCTCGTGAATGTCCTGTGGCTAGTTGATTTTATTTTTTGCGTACATTTCGTCCAACCACTGTTGCCACAGACAATTGTCGTTGCTGTTATTAACAGTGAAACGATCAAAAGAGTGCCCTATAGCTAGCTTATAGCTTTGCTAACAGTGTGTGCAAAATAAAAGCTGCTTTAAGGGGTAATAACAAAGTGAGACTACTACAAAAACAACACAAGTGTGTGTGAAAAGTGTTAAGAAATGGCCGCCTACACGCAGTTTGGTTATAATTACCCGTCGGCAAATCAGGTGAGCGAAGATTTTCTTATAGCTTACAGGCGAATTCAACGTAAAATTAACACTTTTGAATTAATTATTTATTTATTCTCACAAATTAATTTAAAGCTTATTATTTAAGAAAATATTGCTAAGAAAATAAATAATTGTTCCTATTACACAATGTTTTCTACTATTCGAATTTGAAATCAATTAAAGTCGAATTAAGACACTTTTTTTTTTTTTTTGAATGAAAATGTATTTGTCGCAATATATAAAGGCGTCTCATTAAATGCTTAATTTAGTGTGGTCCTTTCGAATGATAATGACAAAAGTTATGCTCAGATTATCACTCATTATCACGCTAATTGAGGGTTTAGGCTATTCCGGGAAATAAATTTTTTTTTCTTGAAGTACGATTTATGTAGGTTACTTAAAACTATACTAAATTGGTAGAGTATTGAAAAATACATTTTCGTAGTGTTGTTGTTGTTGTTATTGTAGCTTCAGAAAACTTTCCTGAAATATTGCTGCCGAGTTAACAGTCTTTGGCTGGAATAAAATACGGGTCCGCTAAGTTTATATAGGCCCGTCTGTTCTGGGAACGAATTTTTGTAGTGTTAAGAAGCTGGTTATTCGGCTTTAGCACGAAAAACTTTTAGTGCGTCTATCTAAAAAATATAATATAAATAATCTGCTTGATGCTGACTTAATTTGGACCTGCCCGTCTGTCTGTTTTTGAGATATTGAACTGAAATTTTGTGAACTTGCTTTTCTTCTCAAGAAGTTGCTTATCGCACAAATTAACTGATCAAAATTAAGTTAATGTATGGAAAACTACCATTTTACGATATAGTGCTATAAGCACAAAATAGTAAGTGCTTCTTCATAAATTTAAAATTCTTAATTTATACTTCTAAATCAATGCTGCAGAATACACTTGTGACAAGGTTTTTTCCAATCCCCTAACCGGCTGTTTCAGTGAATTTCTGAAATAGCCTTCAATGCGGATTGCGCTTCAAGTTCAATGTCTTCAATTGACTCAAAACGGTTTTCCCGGAGCGAACGTTTGATCTTGTTGAATAGCTAGGAGTCATACGGTGCTTGCGTCTCGATATTGGTTGAAAATTTGACGAAAACTCACAAACGATCACTGCAGTATGTGACGTTGCATTATCGTGGTACAAAAACCAAAAATTGTCGGTCCATAATTCCGACCTCTTTTCACCAATAGCATCACGCAAGCGACACAAAGCCCTCAAATAGTATTCTTTGTTGACAGTGTGGCCATTGGAAGTGCACCACATCACGATATTCGAAAAAAGCTGTCAACATGACATTGATTTTTGACGTGCTTTTACTTGTTTTTTCGGCTTCGGCGCAACTTTGCCACGATATTCGGCCTATTAATCGTTTGTTTCTGGCTCGTTAACATACATCCAAGACTAATCGTCAGTAATAATACGTTTTATGACATCTTAGTAGTCGGAAATCATTGTTTCACAGACGTTAACGCGACGTTGTTTTTCGAAAAATATTGAGTGATTTTGTAACCAATCGTACTTTCACTCTTCTTAGGCCCAAATTATCTTTCAAATTAAACTTTTGATCTCTTTTTATTGATCTTTTAGATATTCCAACGATGCCAGTAAGATCTCTGACTATAATGTTCTTTAAGACTGCAGGTAGATACGATTTTGGGTCTGATCCTTACATAACAAACTTCAGTTTTTCGTAACAAAAATAAGGGACTTTTTTTTAAGTTTGCTTTTGTAGAAATTATTTCGTAGAGGCAAATCTTGCAAACTTTAAGAGCTAAACAGTTCTGAAATAATTTTTTTTTTTTTGGGGTCTGTTCAGAGTGGCTTACGAGTTGAATTATTTTTGAAAGATCAAATAGCTCCGATTATTTCACAGCAAATGTGTATGAGAAATCGATATACGGCGAATGTTCATAGAATTTTATAACTAAAAATTTGCGGGTTTGGAGAGTCCAATTGTCAATTTTTTTTTTATGTTAATATATGATACGACGCAATGATCAGCTTTAATCCTTGCTTACTTCTCCGCTAAGGACATGTTTTTATGAGCTTTTCTATCTTTCGTTTCTTGAAAGAAAGAAATGGTTAAAATAATTTATTCGCGAATTCTTCTCCGAAGCAATACTGTAAGTATGCCCCAGATTCCGTATTCGCCAGATGAGTAAATTTTTCTTTTTTCCAAAAATGAAGAGAGTCTTGCAAATTCGTAGTTTTACAGGATAGCTGAAAATCATTGAAAAGGTTAAAGGCTATCCCGAAAATCGAGTTTGAGCAGTATTTCGACAATTGAATAAAGGACTGGTAAAAGAGCATAATATCAAATGATCACTATTTTGAAGGCGACAACATTAATGTGACAAATGTGTTAATATTTTTTTCGAAAAAAAATATATCCCCTGAAAATTTTTTCGAAAAAAAAATTTCTTTATTTTTATATACAAGTGATTGTCTTCGTAGCATCGTAACAATTTTCAATCTGAAATTTATCATTTTGTTTGAAATGCACATCAAGTTTTCACTGAAAAATTTTCAATAATTTACCTTTTGAATAGCCGAAAAAAAGAAAGCAATCGATCGAAATTGAACGAATCAAATAATTTGCAAAGCAGTTGGAAAAAAAAATTGAAAGAAAGAAGTTTTGTATGGAAAAATATCTTTTTTATAGTATTTCGACTTTTTTCGATTTTTTTGTATTGATAAATTTGAAAAAAGAGAGATAGATTTAAATAAACAATTTAAAAAATAAGACGAAAAAAAAATATGGAAAAAACTCACTTTTTGAGATTTTTTAATTTTCCGAATTTTGCTCAGAAAAAGTATAATTTTTTGTTTTCTAAACCTTCCGAGATCCATAACGAATAACCCCTGAAAATTTCATCAAGCTTGGTTCACCCTTAGCCTCACTAACAAACAAACATTAATTTTTATTAATTTAAAAGAATCACCAAAAGCTTTCAATACGTAAATAAATATGTGTTTAATTTTTGCTATTTTAATAAATTTTATACATATATTTTATTTAATAGCAGTGAAAATGCTTTTGTTTTCCATGGTCCTTTAAATAATTGTAAATTTGTAAAAGAGTAAAACCCTTATATTGAACGCAAAACGCAAATTTTTTGTTATAACATTAACTCATTGCCTTAATGAAGACTCTTGCTTTTAAGTGTAAAGCAATGATTTTCTAGTTTTTATTCTAAAACTCTAATTCTACCAAGTCGAATACATGCACTCATACGTTGATTTATCCTCTTTTCACTGCTTTTCACCATTCAAACCCCTGACTCATACGCAAATGCCGCACAAAATTATTTCGCACTAAAAACGTGTTGAAACCCATAATTAGCTTAATGTTCTAAGCAGACAAGAGCACAACTTAACCTCCGCTGCCTCGCACAGCACTTGACTCCTTGCGGCGCAGCGTGACGAACCCGACCAACGCTCATGAAACGTGATTCAATTTTAAATCAACGCTAATTTCGGTTGCTGCCACCACTGTGCCTCCTCCGTATGTATGTGTGTGGCTAAATACCCAAGCATAACGCGCCACACAACACTCAAAATAATTTTATTATAATTTTAAAAACGTTCGATAATTAGAGCAAAAGCTTATAAAGCGGATAGAACAAGAAAACTACGATTCTTTTATGCAAAGACAGCGTGTGTATGTGTGTGCAGCTTGTGGAAAAGTAGAAGTTTAAATCACAAAAGCGCCACAGGCATGAATATTCAAAAGAAGAAAATTGCTGCGCCATGGAAGACAGTGTCAGACCGTGGGCTCCAGGAGAGGCGGGCAATGGCTATGCAACTATTGGCCACAGGGCAGGTTGTATGTGCCCGGTGGACTGTGCTGGCGTTTGGCGAGCGTTGGTCGCGCGTTAATTCAGCAAATTATGCAAGGAAATGTTTGCAACAATTTAGGACAACGCCACAACAACAACAACGATAGCCAGCATAGCAATGGCGAATGTATAGGTGTTGTGTATAGGTCTAGGAGTAGGGCATGCAGCTTTATTTGCAACTTGCATATCGGTAATTACACGACGGTGGCAGCATTACATATATGTATGTACATATATTTACATACAAACAGAAATTTATGTATATTTACATATATAAGCTTAATGCTTAAATGATATATATATGTATATTGGTTATATATATATCGTATATATATATCTAAATAATGCATCCCATCTGCCTTGCACTCCACTCACGCGGAGCTGCCCTCGCATGGCGACTTCCATTGCTGCTTATTTGAAGATAATTTACACTGCACTCAAAGCGCCATCACAAGCATGTGTATGTGCATGGATGTGTGTGTGCCGCAGTTTACTTACTGGTATGTTGTTTTGTTTGCAAATTTGCTCCTTACGCAGGATCTTAACGCTACCGCAATGCGTTTAAACATTCAAAGCGTATTTGCACACACGCACACACACACATAAAAACTTATGCAACTATATTCGTAATAAATTGGTCGGAATGGCTACCCATTTATTATAATAAGCAAACTTGTCTTAAATTATTATAATTAAAGTAATGCATGTATGCTGAAGATTATCGGCAATTATAATTACAGACCATTGAAGACACATTGAAGGAGCTCGCTGAGGAAATTTAGTTCGAACTGTATAAGCTTTTTAGGTACATAATCAACTTACTTGCAAATATTGATATATGTATATAGAAATATATGTGGGGTAATAATATACAAATACATTTATGTACGTGTATATACATATATATTTATATACATATATATTTATATACATATTTATATACATATATATTTATATACATATTTATATACATATGTATATGATATATATGTATGCAGTTGTGTTAACACTTTATAGCAAAAGTAGCACATTTCCTTGTAGTAATGATGCTTGTGGCTAAAATGAGTTGAAATTATGTAAAATTATATTATTATGAAATAACTAAATTACTGAATTAATTTCCAGTATCATCAAACTGCTGTTTATTATG